TATACTTTGTTTAACGCCGTTACTAACAGGGACTCCATCTGTTATAAAATGGAAAGTACAGGGACGTTGGTCGTTAAAAGATTCTTTGAGGGACGTTAGTGTTAATTTTTGCAAACCACAGGAACCAAATTTGTATTTAACTCATTAAACAATATCCTTTTGACATGGAAATTACAGAAGCAACGAAGAGGAAGAGGAAGAGGAAGAGGAAGAGGGAGAGGGAAGAGGAAGAATAAGGATGCAGTCGCCATCAATGGAAGCTTCACGAACGTTCTGGAGAAATACGAATACCCAGTTTCTAGGGTTTCTTCCATCATCATCTTCGTCTCTTACGTTAACGACTCTCCGGCATCCATATTCGCGTGTTTGGTGCAACAGCTTAAACCCTAACAATCGCCGGATAGCGACAGTGAAGGCGAAGGGAAAGGATAATGTGTGGAGTATCGATAACGATGCGGCGAATGGGAGTCGAGGTGGAGAAAGACGGAATAAGGGAGATAGGAGGAGGACTAAAGTAAGGAATTCGACGACGAAGAAACGGAGAGGTAGAGGTGGAGGGAATGAGAGTGATGAAGGAATAATGGTTTCTGGTTCCATGTTAATGGAGACGGAGAAGGTTTTACAAACTCAGGTAAGACAGTCTCGTTCTTCTTTGTATTTCGTGTTATTGAACATTTTGGTTTGAGTTTAAGAAGGTAGGGTAGAAGATCATTGAATTGTAAGTTTATGCTGTTCCAATTAAGTTAATTATGGTTCAGCTCGCCGAACGTAGACTGAGAAATTCCACTTCAGTTTCCAGAAGCGGCTTTAAGAAATTTGAGCATAGAGTGAGTTCGAAACTTAACAGGGGTGGTTGTAATATACAGGGATTGACACAGTAGTTTAAAATTGGTTAAAGGTAACTGAGATACATGAGCATGGAGATGTCATCTGCAACAGCTATACAATTTTAGAAATTTTGGAGATTTGGGAAAAAATTGCTCCAACAGCTATGCTAAACTCTTCTCTAAATTAGAGAAAAAAAAGAGAGAGAAAGGAGAAATCTCCAAACTTGGAAGAGGAAATAGAAAATATAGCATATGATCCACATATAGTGGCAGTTTACCAAATGCTTGCAGGATTCGCGCACACGGGGTGTCACTTAACTTATTGGGTGAGCATGGCAAGGACCGATAATCTTACCTAGTAAGTCAGGGAGAAGACTCTTACCCGGTTAGCGCTATTGGATAAGGGATGCTTACCAACAATCCATTTTAATGACCGAGAATGTTACCCAATAAGGTAAGTGAGGGTGGTGACTCTTGCTGGTAAGCGCTTACCTGGTAATGGTTTCGTAAATGGCCCTCTAGTTTCCATCTTGTGCATAGTCGAACGTTGAGGTTGAAAACATAGGATATGGGATTGATCTTTAAATTGGTTGGAGCTTAGTTATGTAGGCAAAGAGTTAGGAACCTGTCAAGTGTAAGTGATTATATGCTGACTTGTTTTAGGCTTGTAGCGACTGTAAATTACTATCATTTTCATCTTTCAGGAACCTGTAATTATACCAGTATGGAACACATTTGCGAGTAGTGTTAGTGGCATATGGAAAGGAGCAGGAGCCGTGTTTTCACCCATCACCGCTCAGATGGAACCCATTGAGGTTGGAAGAAACAATGAGCATCAATTTGACTGCTATACTCTTTCTCGCATCGAGGCAGTACCATCGACAAATGGAGGGCATACATCTCAGATTCGAAGGACAGTGAACTGGGTGACCTTGAATTCTTATGGTGAAAATAAACAGTTGCACAGTCATTTGAACAAAAGTAAAGAGATGCCTGTACACGAGGATGCATCTTTATCTACCATAGAAGCACTTGATGGAAGGAGGACAAACCACGTGCTGCCAAAATTTGAGTCTTTTGACTTTGAAACAAGTGATCTGATGGAAGAAGATCTTATGGGTGTGGAGCCTGGTCTTGTCTTTTTTGAGGTAAAGTGATGTGAACTGCTATTACCTCTTTTGCACATGTCTTTCTATTACTAAAGAAAAACTTATGTTGGTATAAATTTTTGTGAAAGGATGAAATCCCCAAGTGCATCTATGATGCTCAACATAAGAATGAGGGAGACAAATTTTGATCTGCCAACTTAAATATTAATAGTTCTACTTGATTTGTGCTTTATTGTAGTTGAATCAACTTTCTTTGCTTTGTCATCACGCATGATACTTCTGAGTGTTTGTTGCTTTGACCCCCTACTCCCTACACAGTGAGCTATTGGTTTGCACATTTATACATGCTTCTTCTTATAGAAACAAAGGATTGCAAACATCATGATGAAAATTTATAGGCTTTTCCATATATTAAAGGTTCTAAATCATATTGCTTTTGTTAAAAAGTTCATAGACTTTATGGTTGTTCTGTTCTAATACAGTAAATAAGAATGTTGTGAGTTCCAGATATTAATAAGGTGAATAGAGGACAAAATACGACTCTGTAAACTGGGTTGAGAACTTGAGGTCTTTAGTGCATATATGATCCCAAATGCCCCCAAGGTTCAAAGAAGAAAAAAAAAACCAGATGCTTGTTTCAAGAGAACATCTTCTTAAAAAACAAGCCTCTTTACGCCAGTTAGAGTTGGTTGTATTTGAAAGTATTAGAGCCAAAAGAACTTATTTATCATCAAGCCAAATGCCCATCCTAAATAGGTTACAATATTGTTAAGATAAAGATTAAATCACAAAATATAGATAGCAAGATAAGCTTAGAGAGGCACAAATTACAATGACTCTAGTTTCTATAACGACGTCAAATTGCTTTGCTCCCCTATTTACCAATCTACCTGCTCGACAGTCGACATTACTTCATAAAGAACTAGTTGCTAATTTATGTTAGATGTAGTGAATGGTAAACTAGAGTTCGGTTCTGGATTCCTGAGTAGAATTTCAGTCAAACATACAGAATGACGAGATAGACCATTTCATGAGGTTGCTCATGATTTTTTTTTGCCAAGGGTTGATGATAAAAACCCATTGAAGGAGTACTAGAGGAAAAGGAACCGGGTCACCAGCTGCCAATATGGGCAGCTGAATTCTATTTTTGGGAATTGGCTGAATCCACTAGGCCAAAACAATTGATGGTCAACTAGCTGAATTTACTCAAATGAATTGATGGTTAACCAAGGAATTAGGGAGCAATTATCACACTTGATTTTAGCAGTTACCATATTTAATTCTAAGAAGGATAGTATAAATAATAGGCTTGCTTATCATTGTTATCATCAAAGTTACTCATATTTATCTTTTCTTGTAAACGAAAACCTTGCCCCTCTCGAATCGGGCCACTATCAATAAAAAGCTAGCCTATTCCTATTCTTATTAATTTAGTACCTATCATTTGGTTTGCCGGGAAATCGACATGGTGCAAACCTAGAATAGCGACAACAGTACTCCACCCGATCCCAGTGCCGCTCAATTGGCTGCCATACTGCGAAAGTGGAGTCAATTGAAATGATGAAGATATAGCAGCTCTGAAGGAAGGAGAACAATCCAGAGGAGGCAAGAATGACGAGGGGAAAGTTCTTGGAGGGGTCGACAGCCACATAGACCCTATAACAAAATTGATTTCCCGATTTTTAGCAGCGGAGACCCTCGCGGGTGGCTGTTGAAAGCCGAAAAATATTTCAGGTATTATCAAATACCGGATAAAGAGAAGGTTGAGATAGCTTCAATGCACTTAGAAGGGGATGCCTTGGACCTCTATTCATGGCTCTCTTCCAATCACTTTTTGGGAAGAATTAGTCTAAGCGTTTACAAAAAACTTTGGCCCTGCATAGTTTCAGAACTCAGATGAGTTCCTTTGTAGCATTAAACAAACTGGTTTGATACAAGAATATTGGCAGGAGTTCTTTAAGAGATCCTCTCGGGTTTCAAATTGGCCCGATCATTGTCTTTTAGGGGTATTTCTAAACGGCCTCAAGGATGAATTAAAATCTGATGTACGAATTCACAAGCCCCGTACGGTATATAGTGCCATGAGTCTGGCTTTGGAGTTTGAATCTAAAATTCATCCCCCACCGACCCAGAAAAAGTGCTTCTTGGACCCCAAATTCGAAACCCTCACAGCCGGATCCTAAACCAACAACTTTCACCCCAGCCCAAACATCAACCCAACCAAAAAATACTTTCCGAATTTCCGAAGCAGAGAAACAAAACCGATTCCTAAAAGGGGAATGCTTCAGATGTGGCGATAAATACGGACCAGGTCATCGTTGCAAAACCGGTACTTTCAAGGTTTTAGAGGCTGATGAGGATGTTGAAGAATCACCTACAACAGATCGAACCGACCTCGATTCTGACCACGAAGAAACTGCTGAAATCAATTTACATGCTATTCTGGGGAAGTCACATCCTACCACGATGAAGGTCCATGGTATGCTTCATTCTACTGAAGTTTTAATTTTAGTTGATGGTGGTTGTACACACGATTTCATTTCGGATGTCTTGGTGAATGAACTTAAGCTGGCTCCTCAACCGGTAGCGCCTTTTGGTGTTCAAATCGGTAACAGGGATGTAATTCGATGTGGCCAAATCTGCAAAAATCTTCCTGTACAGATTAATGACCTTAAGATCACTCAAGATTTCCATCCTTTTTCTCTTGGTGGAGCTGATCTAGTTTTGGGTATTCAATGGTTAGCCACATTAAATAGGTTCAAGCTAACTTGAAAGAATTGTTAATGATTTTTTCAATAGATGGGAAGCGATACCAACTACAAGGCATTGCATCCGGCCCCCAAAAATCATCCAGTTTCCAACAACTAGCCATTGACCTAGAAGTTACCCCCTGCATACTATCCCCACTACAACCTATTCTCACCCAATACACCACTGCTTTTGAGGAACCTCAACATTTACCCCCGGTTAGATAAAAAACCCATTCAATTCCACTTTTGCCAAGCTCCACCGCGCCTAACATCCGTCCTCACCGTTATATTTACTCCCAAAAAAATGAGATAGAGAAACAAGTGGAACAGTTGATGAACGCTTGCTTTATTCAATCGAGTACCAACCCTTTCTCAAGCCCTGTGTTACTAGTGAGGAAGAAGGACAATTCTTGGCGAATGTGCATAAATTATCTGGCCCTTAACAAGATAACTATAACCGATAAATACCCCATTCCCAATATTGACGAGTTACTTGATGAACTGTATGGTGCTATGGTGTTCTCAAAACTCGATTTGCGATCGGGTTATTATCAAATCAGAGTGGTAGCCCCGGATGTAAAAAAACAGCCTTTCGCACTCACTCAGGTCATTACGAATTCAAGGTCATGCCTTTTGGTCTGACTAATGCTCCCTCCAAGCTATCATGAACGATCTATTTCGTCCTTACTTACGACGTTTCATACTTGTGTTCTTTGATGACATTTTAATTTACAACCCAAGTATGGAACAACACAAGTTTCATTTGGAAAATGCCCTAAAATTACTTCATGACAATCAATTTTTTGCCAAATTATCAAAATGTTGCTTTGGGCAACAACAGGTTGTGTTCCTTGGTCATATGGTCAACTCGAAAGGAGTTAGTGTAGAGGAAGAAAAGATATCAGCAGTTAGGTCGTGGCCCGTACCATCAACAGTAAAGGAAGTGAGAGGTTTTCTCGGGTTAACCGGGTATTATAGGCGCTTTGTTCGTAATTACGGTGTCATAGCCCGACCTCTCACCGCATTGACCAAGAAGGATGGGTTTAGTTGGTCGGGATCGGTCCTTAAAGCCTTTAATGACTTGAAACAAGCTTTTGCTTTCTACACCAGTTTTGAGATTACCCGGTTTCTCGAAACCCTTTATTATAGAGTGTGATGCTTCGTCGGATGGCATGGGAGCAATATTATCACAAGAGGACCATCCTGTGGCTTATTTCAGCAAGGGGTTTTCCCCATTTAACCGATTTAAATTGGCTTACGATAGGGAGCTGCTGGCATTGGTCCTAGCGGTACGAAAATGGAGTCATTACCTGCTTGATCGGCATTTTCTCATCTGTACCGATTATCATACCCTAAAGTTTTTATTGGAGCAGTGCATTATCACTACCGAGCAGCAAAGGTTGCTACTTAAATTCATGCCTTATGATTTTTCGATTATTCACAAGGTCGGAAAAGAGAACAAGGGGGCTGATGCCTTATCTCGTCGACCCCATTCAGGAAGATTATTGACACTCATTGTCCCCTTAATGTGTTGAGGTGGCTGATATCAAAGCTGGGTTGCAAACCGATCCATTTACAAGCTACCTGATCAACAAATTGAATGAGGACCATTCATCCATCACTGATTTATCTGTTGAAAATCAGCTTTTGTTTTATCAAGGGTGTTTCGTAATACCGGAGGTATCTTCCCTCAGACTTAAGCTGTTACAAGAAGCACATGATACCCCAATCGGTGGTCATGGGGGTTTTTTAAAAACCTATAAACGACTTTCCTCTCGATATTATTGGCTAAAGATGAAACAGGATGTGAGGATTTTTCTACAACAATGTGTGATATGCCAACAACAGAATTACCAAACTCTGTCTCCGCCGGTTTGCTTAAGCCCTTACCCATCCCAAACTAAATTTGGGAGGATATCTTCATAAAGTTTATCATCGGTTTACCTCCATCAAGCCGTTTCGATACAATCTTAGTCGTGGTGGATCGCCTAAGCAAATATGCTCACTTCCTCTGTTTGTCTCATCCATTCACGGCCAAAGGAGTAGCTACTCTATTTTGCAAAAAGATAGTCAGATTACATGGTTTTCCCCGCTCTATCGTTTCTGATTGAGACGTTGTCTTCCTTAGCAACTTTTGGCAAGATTGTTCCGATTAAGTCGGACCAAGTTAAAATTGAGTATAAGTTACCATTTTCAAACGGACGGTCAAACCGAAGTTCTAAATCGTTGCCTAGAAGCTTACCTACGTTTCTTTGCTAGTGAACAACCAACCAAATGGAGTACTTTCTT